ATAAGGAGGAACTTTCTGACAGTGAGAGCAATCAACCCATGGAACAGAAGTTGCCTTCAGAAGTTATGGGGGCTTCATCACTGGAGGCTTTCAAGAAGAGACTGGACTGCCATCTGTCCTGAATGGTGTAGGGCCTCCTGCTTGGGCAGGGGGTTGGGCTAGATGCCCTACAAGGTCTCTTCCAACTCTGTTATTCTATATTGAATGAAACAACTTGCCTTCAGAACTTGTGGGAATTTCATCACTGGAGGCGTTCAAGACTCCCATTGGTCAGAAATGGTGTAGGGTCTCCTGCTTGGGCGGAGGGGTCAGACTAGATGACCTACAAGGTCCCTTCCAAATCTGTTAATCTGTATCTCTTCTCAAAGAGAAAGAGATGGCAGCTCAAACTGGGCAGGCCCAGAAGGAGGACGGAATACCCAGCCTGTAGGAAGCCAACTCTAGGTAGGAGGGGAACGAAAGAGAACTATCGCCAACTCGCTGAAACCTCTAAAGGAGAAGTTCCAGGAAGAGTCACGTTATCCAGTTTTGCTGATGCCGGCTCCAAGTTTCTTGTTTGTTTTAAAAAAAGTTTTCTGTGCAAACTGAAGAAGAAAACAAGAGTAGCATTTGGACGAAGAGGGAAGTAATCGGCTGACTGACAGCAGGGAGGGTCAGAAGGAGGAAGAAAGACCAACCCCCCCCCCAATGTTATAGGGAAGGAGAGCGGCAGAGCTAAGGTCATTCGTGGCCTACCTTGGTCCTGAGCCCAACTAAACCAGCTGCCAAAAGCAGAAGTCCTCCTAAGCCCATGAGGCAGAACTTCAGGTATTCCAGCAATGAAGGGATGGTTATTAGATGGGTGTAGTAGTCGTCCAAAACATCTCCTACTATCTCCCCACTCTGTTCAGGACAAAGAAACAATCAGTGAGTGTTTTTACTGCCTCGCAAGATTTTATTTGCCTGCAAGAGGCAAGATTCCTAGCCGTGTGGGAGAAGATGGTTGAATCCAAGGGAATGAAACAATCAACATCCAACTTGCTTTCCAGGGTTTAGCTTAAGAGTGGTGAGGGATCCTTTTGGGCTTTGCAGTCCAGGTGCATCTCCCTCCCTCCCCCCCCCCCATTCCCTTGTCCATCTCATCTCGTTCTTGGCTAAAGGACAATTTGTCATATTGCGCAAGGTTAGCAAATTGAAGTAATGAAGATTTGGATAAAGAAAGGGAGGGGCAGAGGGAGGGAGGAAAAGAGGGAGGAAGGATTAGAGGGAGAGAGGGGAAGGAAGGAAAAAGAGGGGGGAGGTAGGGAGGGGAAGGGAGAGAGGGAGGGAGGAAGGAGATAAACAGGAAGGAAAAGAGGAAGGAAGAGAGGGAGGAAAGAAGGGGAAGGAAGGAAAAAGAGCGAGGGGAAGGGAGGGAGGAAGGAGATAGACANCCTCATCAGAGCCTTCCCAGCCTTCAGGACTGGCCCATCTTCCTCCCCAACCTCCTCATTGTCCGAATCTGCTGCCAGCTCTGCTCGCCACTAGTGGGCCACAACAGTTCCTTCTTCCTGCTCAGGGAAAGTCACCCAGAGGTCTCTGAAGGCCAAGAGTTGGGGGGCCTTCAGCTTGACTGATACCCATCGTACAAAATTTCATAGACTATTTTTTTTAGAAAGGGATTCAACTGAAGGTTAGTCAGTTCCCAAGAAGTTACGCCATCCGAGGCTTAGCGAAGCAATGAACTCCAGAGGCGGATCGGATCTTCCAATATTTCCATTGGCCTCTATCAAAAGACGTGGCAGGGTGGGGTGGGGAGAAGTCACAGCGGATTAAGTGGGTTATTATATGAGTGGGGCGATGATAAAGTTAGGGGGTGGGCGTATTAAAAAGCAGAAGCTGTTGGCTAAGATTAGCCACCACGAAGACGGAATGTTTTTTTAAAGCAGCGAGCCATTCCAGCAGCCGTTTTAAAACCCGAAGAGGTTTTAAAAGTGAGTCAAGCTACATTTTTGTGGTTAAAACCGCGAATTGGACGTTACCTTTTGTTTTTTGTTTGCTTTTTTCCCCAGATCTCCGCCTACTATTTCATCTCCATCCATTGCAAGGTGGCTTTTTTCCTGGAGGCAGGGATTGCCCCTCTAGGTCCTGAGTTTTTATTACTACGCCAAAATAAAAAGCTTTTCCCCTAGAAAATAATTAGCCTGGTTTAAAACAGTTTAGATTAGTTTTAGAAGGACATTTATGTTACTTGATTGAAAGGAAAGAAGGAAGATGTGGTTTAACGGATTTATTGGTTAGGTTATGTTCTTTTTAAATTAACTTTAAGAGATCAGTTGTTTGTCCTAAATTAAGCACATTTAAACATTTAGGTTTTATCATTTTAAATATGATTTAAAAGCGATTAAGAAGCAAGTTATCGTTAGATGGGGGTGGGGGATGTTTGCAACATATTTTCAATCTTTTGAGCCCCGGGCGGCTGGGCTGAAAGCCATGCTACAAAAAAGAACAAAGGTTACACAAACACACACAATTAACAATGACAAACAGTTGCTTAGTATTGTGAAAAGATTCCTGTAACATTCAAGAGAGGAGTTAGGGAAATGTGAGAGACATCAGAAGGGAAAGATTATCTGCTAGACATCTATTTTTTTCAACGTGATCCACTGAAGGATCGCTTACCAAAGGACCATGATACCCATAATTAATGTCAGATCTAGGTGGAATCTGTATGGCAACCGACCGATCCTTTTGCTGTGAAAGATTCAACGTCTGTTGAGGAAGTAAACATGTCCAATGTGAACACAGAAGATAATAAGGTTTAGAAAGTTTTGCTTTGCTTTTTAACTTCTCATCCAGTGGAGAAATGGCTAGAAACCTGCAGGAAACCTCCTAAAGCTTTAATCTTCTTCTTTTAAAAGGTAAAGGTTTCCCTCGCACATATGTGCTGGTCATTCCCGACTCTAGGGGGCGGTGCTCATCTCTGTTTCAAAGCCGAAGAGCCAGCGCTGTCCGAAGGTGCCTCCGTGGTCATGTAGCCGGCATGACTGAACACCGAAGGCACATGGAACACTGTTTCCTTCCCACCAAAGGTGGTTCCTATTTTTCTACTTGCATTTTTTACGTGCTTTTGAACTGCTAGGTTGGCAAAAGCTGGGACAAGTCACAGGAGCTCCCTCCATTACGCGGCGCTAGGGATTCGAACCGGCAAACTGCTGACCTTTCTGATCGACAAAGCTCAGCGCCTTAGCCACTGAGCCATTGGCTTAAATCGATTTTGGGTTTTACTGATTAGATTGAATTGTTGTTTTATAGAAACGGCTACTTTATACTATTATGGAAAGGTAAAAAAATTGAGGTTGGATGTTGAACTTTAAGAATGAAGTTTTCTCCTTGGCCTGGACCATGAGCCAGTAGTGTGTGGCAGCAGCCAAAAAAAACCAATGCAATCCTAAATTGCATTAACAGACGGATACAATCAAGATCAAGGGGGAGGTGCTAATACCACTCTATAAAGCCTTAGTAAGACCACACCTAGACTTCTGCATCCAGTTTTGGTCACCACATTATAAAAAAGAGACTCTAGAAAGAGTGCAGAGAAGAGCAACCAGGATGGTGAGGGGACTGGAGACTAAAACATGCGATGAACGGTTGCAGGAACTGGGCATGGCTGGTCTAAGGAAGAGAAGGACCAG